ACTTCAGCAGCCCTAGGAATGACAGTTTTATGTGGTAAATGTATGTTTAATGTTTTGTGGAATTGTCAGACTGTTTTCCAGATTCATTGCACCATTTTTTATTTCTACCTGCAGTGAATGCACAGGGCTGTGATTTCTTTACATCCTTTTCACTCTTGCTATTGTCCATCTTTTTTTTTTTTTCCTGTTTTTGCTTTTTAAAGTGTCTCCATTTTTGCTTTGGTTCTTGTTTTTGTGGTACTGGGGACGAACCCAGGACCTTGTGCATGCTAAGCAAACACTCAACCATTGAGCTACATATCCAGCTTCTAGTCCATCTTTTTGAGGATGGCCATCATGTTGTGTGTGACCTGGCATTGGCTGTGGTTTCAGTTTGCACATCCCTAATGACGGATGGTGATATGCATGCTTCATTCCTTTCACAGCTGATATTCTATAGTACAGTGCTCTTCCTACACTTCGACTCCCATCAGGGATCTCATATCACTTGCGATATCGTCTTTTCCCATTCATCCTACTCTTCCTTTAGTGCTGTGGGGCTCCACAGCTTCTAGTGTGACATACCTTTGAAGTGTAGCTTTTTCTTTTCTCACTTAAATTCATGGTGCATTGTTGTTCTGTGTGTCACTAGAGATTTCGAGACTAAAAAGGATTTAACCAAATTTATTAATAAATAAGTTTTCCGCACAACGCTTCAGAATCATAACCACTTCTTTCTTGTATCGGGAAAGGAAAAGGTGGTAGAAATTCTGAGAGTCCAGCTGGGACGGCTGTCTCCTGTGCTCTGCCATTCTGAAGTCCAGTGATAACAAGATAGTCCTTTCAAGAGTTGCTGTCCAGGACTTTGTCCCAGCCTGGTGATGAGGAGGAAGGGGTTGGGAAGGGCTTCTGGGAGAGGCAGTATGGCATCTCCCAGCTGTGGTCCTTCCCTGCTTGACTCGGGGTAGCCTAACATTTTTCAGAATTCACTTGCATTGGAAATGTTTGTCTCACGCATCTAATGACTGAACAAAATCTCAGAAGTTAGTAGCTTTATAGGCATCCTTGGGGAAAGGTGGGTATGTGGAGTCTTGCCAGAGACAATATTTATTCCAGTTTGGGGGAGAGGGGTGGTGTTGACTCTGTCATCTGATCTCTTATGTCTCTGCAGTTTCTACAGGACACCTTGGATGCCCTCTTCAACATCATGATGGAAAACTCAGAGAGCGAGACTTTTGATACACTGGTGTTTGATGCTCTGGTAAGGGGCCTCCCTTTCATCTGCTCAGACAGGGAGGAGCTCTTTCATGCTGTAGCCTTTGAGGAGGAGGGGACCCATCGCAGTCACCTTGAAAGCCTTTCAGTTGTAAATCCAATCAAAGAGGAGGCTAGGAGAAGTGGGAAAAGATTCTTTTCATGTGAGACTGTAGTTATGCAAATATCATTTCTAGGGAAAGAAGACAGAAAGCAGGGACCACCTTCTGCCTGGAATGTTATATTTCCTTTTCTCACACAGTGCTGCAAATGGGTCAGGTGAAGGTCCCAAAATTGTCTTCATTGTGTTTCTAATGAAAATATTGATTAATTTCACAGGTCTTTATCATTGGCCTAATTGCTGATAGAAAATTTCAGCATTTTAACCCTGTGTTGGAAACCTACATTAAGAAACACTTCAGTGCAACTTTAGCCTACACGTGAGTTCTTTTGTGTTGTTTTAAAACCAATACTTCTTTTTCTTGAATATTTGTTATTGAGAGCCTGTTTGTGTTTATAACTTCTGTCTGTGATTGTGCATTTCCACCCTCAAAATTCTGAACTTACTGGGATAATTTTTATTACTGTTTTCCTCTTAACAGACCTAAAAGTCTTGTTGAAAGAGATACGCGATAAATTATCGTAACATTCTGGAATAAATTCTTGTTCTCCTTCATACCTCCATTTATCTTTGAAAATTTCAGTTTATGTTTGATGAAACTGATCTGTGCCTGCCACACAGCGGCTTCCCAACAAGCATTTGATAAATGAAGAAATGGATGTGTTCTTGTTCTGAGGTTATTGGTTCTTTAGTGTGAATAAAAGGCAGTTTTGTATTCTTCATTGTACCCGCTTGCTCTTACGGGATACTGTCAATTTCTTCACAAGGGTCAGCTTTAATGGACTTGAATTCTTGCTGCCCACTCCTGGCCCTCTCCCTATCCCCATTGTACCCCAGAGAGATGGTAACACACACAGAGAATGGCTGGGAGCTAGACATAGAGGCAGCTCACTTCCTGTTTGACCAGACAGTCCTGGAGCCAGACTGCCTGGGTTTAAATTACATTTCTGTTCCTTTTAAGCTCTGTGATACTGGGAAATTACTTATCCTCTTGACCTTCAGCCTTCTTTTCTGTATAAAAGAACATGATTATAGATTTGTGTGAGAATGTTTTTTGGGAGGGGCGATACTGGAAATTGAACTCAGGGCCTCAGGCCTGCTTAGGCAAGCTCTGTACTGCTTGAGCCATACCCCCAGTCCTTTTGCTGTTGGTTTGTTTTTCAGAGAAGGTATTGTGCTTTTGCCATGGCTGGCCTGGTGCACCTCCTTCCTCCTACCTCTGTCCATAGTCACGTACCACCACACCCAAACTTGCTTGAGAATTGTAATGAGATTACATAGGGAATTCTTGGAAGAACCCCCAGTGCTTTGAAGGCACTGAGCGATTGTTCGGTTTCATTTATTAGGATTCATTACTTGCTCTCTCATGCTGGAATTTATTGGCATTTATTCAAATTTTATATGGCGAAGGTTGCAGTGAAAAATAAAACTTTACACCATTTCTTTAGGAAATGAATCTCTTTAGTAAGTGTCATTGAGTCAAAGCTTCCATCTGTGTTTTTCAACAGATTTAGGTGTAAGCCTGTTCTCCCTTCCTGCATGCAGTGTGAGCTCAAGGTCAGGGGGTCTGGCTTCCAAAGTCAGTTGGCAGTACAACCCAGTCTTGAGCTGGGGGAGTCCCTCCTGTCTTGCCTTCAGTGCATGCTTGTTGCAAAGTGGTTAGTGGAGCTCCTAGGTTGGGGAGCAGGGAGCTGCAGAATGTTCTCAGAGCAGGTAGAACAAGCTGCTTTTATTAATTTTTTGCAAATGATTTTTTTAAAAGCATTTTGTTCACTCAGTGGAAGTGCCCAGTTGAACAATTCCTTTTAGACCATGGGGGAGGAGGATAAAGTGGCACCTTCTTGCCACTAGTGACCAAAACACGACTGTGTAGGGTGTGCGGACACGGCCTGGAGATCACTGTGAATGTGGCATGATCTCCGTATGTGACAACTTTCAAAGTCCTTGGAAACACGGACAAAGGGCTCTGGATTAGGCTTTGAACTTTAATTTCAGAAAATGAGAGCAGTGATTAACTGTGATAGGCCACACTTCTGGCCCTTTGTCTGCAGCAGCCTAGCTGACTTGCACTGTTGGGGAAGAGTGGGTGCACGTATCTTCACTGGTGGGAAGGTGAAAATGGGGTGTTTTGGGCAAGTTACTCAGTGGAAGAGACATATAATTTCTTCTCATTCAGTCTCTGTAGTCGACTGGAAAGGAGGTTTTTATTTTGGAAAATAAGTATTCTTATCATGTTTTGCTGGTTCCCCAGCAATTGGGATCTGACAATTTATACCTTGAAATATCCAAGTCAGTTTTGACTCGCAAGGTTCCTGCTAAATCAGTGAAGGCTGCCTCAGCATTGATGGTGTGATTTTGGTATTCTCTGGCCAGGTGGAATTAGGGTACTCAGAATTGTCCCAGAGTGTCTGTCACTACTGATCCCTAGAAAACATTGACTGGCATGGCCTTACGTTATACTGTCTCCTTGTCTCTTTTCTTTGATAAATGTTACATCTTTTTAGACTTTCTTCCCAAAGAACTGCAGGAGGAGAAAGAAAACTTTTGGCACATTGCTGCAACCCTGTTGTATATAGTTCATGGAGGCCAGGGCGCCAGGTGCGGAAACAGCACTGGTCCAAGTGAGATGGGGAGGGTTCTTCCATATACCCATCATGCCCGGGTTTCTGTCCCTTGGGGTCCAATGAACTGCTGCAGGCTCCTTGCTGACATAATTGATACTCCACTTGATCTGCACCTCTGTGGCTCATGCCAAAGGGTTTGGTCTTTGTGCAGTTATAAGATGGGCTGGAAGATTTATTTTCTGGTTCTGGGCTGTTCTCTTTGTGAATCATTATTTTTTATTTCTTTCTTTGATTAATTTGTTGGAAGAATTCCCAAAGCGTGTTTCTGTGAACTTTTTGAGGGGATATGTTAGTAAGAGTAGAAAGAAAGGGACTTGTGAAGCTTGGGGGGATAAATTAGACCCAGTGAGGCAGACTTTATGCAAGGACTTTTAGGGGTGTCCTGTGCATTGAGATATACCAGGGACAGCCATGCTAAACTGCTTCCCAATGGAGGGGCTCTGATTGTGGTCTGCAACAGGAGGACCTTGCAGCACCAGACCCCATAGGTTGGGCTCTGCACCTACTCAGATCACACTGCCCACCAACTCCTCTGGAGGGCCAGACTTCCTTATTGGAGCCTTGTAACCTGATCAATCAGTGTTGGAAATGTCTTCAAATGTGCTCAGCCACCCACGAAGCTTTTTTGTTGTGACTTCTTAGTAAAAGAATTAAAAAAGTGTCAACATTGCTCACATCACAATTGCAGTTGCTCTTGTGAGTATCTTATAAAAATAAAAGTGATGAACACTCTGGCCCTTACTGGCTCAAAACTTCACTGGAGTGCCGTCAGTTATCTGAGCAGGTTATTTTTATGAACACGATGCATATTGAAAAGCCACAGTGAATTCTTGATTTTTACATAAAAGGTTGGTAAATGGAGAAGTTCGGTTAATGTTTGTCCTTGGTCTTTCTCAAAAAGGTCCTTTGCATGCTGCTGGTTTTTGGAGAGTTGTAGCCCAGTGCACTAAAAACTAAACCTATATTAACATTAATTTAGTTCTTTTATGACTTGTTGCCTGAGAGTGATCTTTGTGAGCAAGGATTATTATTTTATGGGCTGGTAGCAGTAGGAAGTATAGAAGTTTAAGCAGAATTAAAAGTTACTCATTTCCACTATTGTGTTCCTTATTAAAACACAACGTGTACTCAAAATGAAAAAATTTAAATACTATATTGCAGAAAATGAAAGTTCCCTGAATGTCATACTGCATATCAGAGATAACCACTATCTCCTGGATTTATTGTCTATGCTGTATTAATACCATCATTGTTATTATGATGTCTGCTTGTTTTACAAAATGGTGTCATGTTATTTTTGCTTCTTTAAATTTAAAAGCTTTTTTTTCTTTCATTGTTACTGTGTAAGACTCATTTTCTAAAACTTATTTTGTGTGTTTGGACAATGTATTTTCCTCTTGTAAACCACTGCCCAAAATAAGATATAAAACTCCCCAGAAATATCCCTCTTGCCCTCTGAGGCAGTCCCATCCCCAAGGAAGCAGCCACTTTGTGATTTCAGTTGTCATAAGTTTGTTTTTCCTGCTCTTGAACTTGTGATGGACACTTGTGTCTGGTTTCTGCTTTTGAGATTCATCCAAGTTGCTTCATGCATCATTGTTTGGTTTTGTTCCTTTTCATTGCTGAGTCATAGTCTATTGTACGAACACACCACCTTGATTTGTTTTCCCATTCTTCTGTTGAAGGATGAGTGGGTGTCTAATTTTTAGTTCTGAATAAGGTTGTTACGAATATTCTTGACCAGGCTGTTTTGTGGGCATTTCCCTTAGGTGAGCACTTAGGAGTGGAATGGTTAGATGAAAGGTACAAGTGTAGCTGACTTCATCTGAAATTGCCAAACAGTACCTTACAGTACTTGTGTTAAGGGCGCTGGTGCAGTCTGTGATCAGAAGACTTTCAAATTCTTTGTGTCCTGTGGAAGAATCCATCACAGGACACAAAGGGAAGGGAAATAGAAAGGGGAGTATGGAATCTGGAGGCTGAGAGTGTGCTTTGAAAACCTATGATAACCTATGGGGAGGGGAGAACAAGGAGATTCCCACCCAGTAATCAATGATTGCTGAGGGATCTGGGTGGTTCCCAGGCAGGTGAGGGTGGTTCCTGATCCAAAGCATGGTGAATCTAAGATGTAATATTTTTCTGAATTCTGAACTTTGCCTCATTTTATCCTATCTCACTTGTATCATTTTGTTTTTCCACCAGCAGTCTATGAACATAACTTTTGTAGTAGCCCATCAATATTTAATACTGTCTGACTTTTAAATTTCAGCTATTGTCATGGGGACAGATTGATATCTTTGGATTACCTGATGACTACCCATATTGGGCACCTGTTTATTTTTTATTTGTCATTTGCTCCAACATAAGGTTTGAACCTTTTCTTTGCTTATTCTTTCCCCTAAAAGTAGTTATGGATTTTGGTTTCATGGCTAAAAATGTCTTTACTTTACCAAAGCTCGTAACCACACCTGCACTGTCCAGTGTCACAGCACTAGGTTATGTGGCTATGTAAATAAAATAAAATGAGAAATTCACTTTCTTGTTGGCAGTAGGTCTGTTTCTGTGGAGAGGCTACCATGCTGCCCAGCTGAGTTCCAGAAGGCTCCCTTCACTGCAGAAAGTTCTTCTGGACAGCCTTGTTTCACTAGCTTCATGCTTTTAACTTTTGAGTCTCAGTCATACAGAAAATGCATTTAATGAAATTCAGTATCCATTTATGATAAAACCTTTTATAAAGCAAATTATGAATACAGGGGAACTTCCTGAATCTGATTTAAAAAAAAAATGAAAGTAAAGTTACAGTTAAGCCTCATCCTTAGGGCCGCACTTTGAACACTTTTCCCAAGTTGAGGAACAAGGAAAGGCTGTCCTCATCATATCTGTTAATGATTGTCCTGGAAGAGTGCAGTGATTCAAGAAGAATAATTAAGGGTTTCAGAATGGGAAAAAAAAAAAAGACAAAACCACACCCAGTGTGGTTATGTTAGGTAAGTCATGAAACAAACAAACAAAACAACAAACAAACACAAAACCTAGTAATTCCATAATGTAAGCTCCGATCAAAATATCACATTGTACTGCATAAATACCTACCATTATTACTTGTCAGTTAGAAAAATAAACCATATACCCAACATAAAATACAAGAAAAAAAATCAATTTTATGTATACAAATAATTGGGAAAAGAATTAAAAGCATAGTATAATGTACTGCATTATCAAAAATGATCAAATGCCAAGGAAGGAATTTCATGGTATCTAACTGAGAGCTCTACACCGAAAACCAAAGACCATTACCAAGAGAAATTTATAAAAACACTAGTTAAGTAGAGCTATATACCATGTTCATAGATTGAAAAACAAAGTATCACCTGAATGTCACTTTTCCCCAAATTAATGTGTCATTTTAACCCAATCCCAATCAAACTCTAATACACTTTTGTGGAAAAAAAAAAGGGTGAGAGCATATTTAAAACTTTATATGTGGTCTGGGTGTGGTGGCTCCTGTCTGTAATCCTAGCTATGCAGGAAGCTGTAGGAGGATTGCTGTCCAAAGCTGGCTGCCTGGGGGTTTGGGGGCAGGCACTTAAGACTATCCAAAAAAAAAATAAATAACTGAAGTTAAAAGAAAAACAAACAATGGAGCTGAGGGTATAGCTTCAGAAGTGGTAGAGTACCTGCTCAGCAAGTGCAAGGTTTTGAGATCAAACCCCAGTACCACCAAAAACAAATTATATGAGAGCTGGAGGTATGCCACAAGAGGTAGAGCCCCTGCTTCACAAGCGTGAAGCACTGAGTTCAAATCCCAGTACTGCCAAATCTATCTGTCAGTCTACCTACCTGTCTGTCATCTACCTACCTACCTATCTGTGTGAAAATGCAAAATATCTAGAATACCTAAGTAAGTCTTCAGAAGGTGAACTTGATTTCAAGATTTACTATGAAAGTAGAGGAACCAAGAGAATGTGGCGTTAGCATAAGTATATACAACGATGTCATTGGGAGAGAATGCAGAACACAGAGTACAACCACAGTAGAGTTCGTGTTCTACTGTAACCTTTGTTTCCTGTTAACAGCATAGCAGCATAACTGGCCTCTTGTCCATGTCAGTGGAGATGGAGCGCTCTCAAGCCCCAACCTGTTGCACCCCATTGTAGGGATGCATGATAATTTTTTTAAGCAGTCTTCAAATAATGGGCACATGCATTGTTTGTGTGTTTTCACTACTGCAGACAAGGTTGCATAAACATTGTTTAATACGTTTGCATTTGCTTCTGTGGGACAGATTACTAGAAGTGCAGTGGCTGACGTCAGTGGGTTTGGATGTTTTAATTGTAGCAGTAATAAATGTTGCCCGTTTACCTTCTCAAAGGTGCTGACCCTTTGTACCCTATCAGCAGTGTTGTGGCTTCCTCACATCTTTTCTGTACTGGGCAAAAGTTTTATTCCTTTTCATTTTATTTTATTTCATTTGTTTTTGCCATGTTGGGGTTGAACCAAGAGCCTGGAGGCATTTTACCTCTGAGCTGCATCCCTAGCCCTGTCTATCTTACTATTTTAATTTACATGTATTTATTTATTAATAAACTTGAAAGTAAGCAAGTAATTTAATTTTTCAACTTTTGTTTATTTAACATTTTTACATACCCTAAAGTTTTTTAGTGAATCTCTTATCATTTGAACTTTGCCATTATTTGAAATACAGCAAAGTAAAAATTTTTTATTTGTTTTTTGAGACAAGGTCTTGAGATACAGCCCAGCTGGCCTTGAACTTGCAATCCTTCTGCCTCAGTCTCCTGAGTGCTGGAATTACAGGCATGAAATAGAAAAATTTTACTACCTTCCCATTTGTTTTTACCAGGAATTAAAAAAATGGTTATCTATCAACTAAATATTTAACATAACTTACAGGAAGCTATGAATTACAAGTTTCTACACTTGTAACTTATTTGTATCAACTGTCTATACTTACGTAGTTGTGGGATGAAAAATTTAAAAATAACTGATCCATTTTCCATAAATTTCTTAAATCTCTTTTTCATTGATGAAGTTTTTAATGTTCTCATGTTATTTGTTTTTGATTTTTTTTACAATTGTAATTAAAAAAATCTTTTAAAAAATTATTGCTGTATTGGAAATACATTGTGACATTTACAAAAGTGCTTACAATGTATCATAATTAAATTCACCCCCTCCATCATTCTCCTTTATCCCCCTTCCCCATTCCTGGAATAGTTTCAACAGGTCTCATTTTTCTATTTTCATAAATGAGTACTAATATTTGCACCATATTCACCCTCCTACACCCTTTCCTTATATCCTCCTCCCTCCCACTGGTACCAACACACACACAGGAACTGCTTTATCTTCCTGTTCTCCAGTTTTTGAAAAAAGACATTTTTGTTTGTTAAAAGATAAGATAGCTATACAGTGCGTTTCATTGTGACATTTCCATGTTTATATGTATTATAACCCGAATTGGTTCATCCCTTCTATTTTTCTCTTGCCTATCTTACTCCTCTTTTTATAGTGATTTCAACAGGTTTAGAAATTCTGTATTCACTCTTGTAGAGAAAGTACATCACCATATTCACCTTCTTAGCTTCCTTCTTTTACTCTCCCTCTCTTGTATGTGACCTCCTTTAGCATTACTGTTTTCCATAGTATTGCTATATTTGTTTTGGGTCTATATTTCACATAGGAGAGAAAACATGTGGCCTTTGGCTTTCTGAACCTGGCTAACTTCACTTAATGGGATGTTCTCCAGTTCCATCCATTTACTGTGAACAACAAAATTTCATTTTTTATGGGTGAATAAAATTCCCTTATATATAAATAGCACATTTTAAAAAAATCCATTCATCAATTGTGGAGCATATCAGCTATTTCCATAGCTTAGCTATTTATTGTGAATAATTCAGCTCATGATTTGTAACTACATAGACCATGAGAAGTTTTGTCATTATACTTCTAAGACTGTTTAGGGAAAATTCTATTATCAGACATGTGAGATTTACTTAAAATCTTTTCATGTATCCACCTGTATTACTTTCATATTATTTTAGGATTCTTATAAAATTAGAAATTTAATAATGTTCCCTATTTGAATAATGACCTCTAAAATTTTTATTTTCAGTGTAAGAACTTGAGTGGCATAAAATCAACTAAAGTAAAGAGAGGTGCCTGAGATGATTTGCAAAAACAAATATTTATTGTGGTAAAATATCCACAACCTGAAATGTGCTTATCAATTTTAAAGTGTAAAACCCCCTGGCATTTTTTTACTTTACAACATAGAGAAGCCAGCACCACTGTTGAGTCCCAGAACACTTTTGTATAATCATTTTGGAAAAAATTTTGTGACTTGTTGGGCTTTAATGAAAGTACTCTTATAAGTTTTTTTTCCTTTTGCTTTATTTTGGGCAAAGTTAATACACACTTAAAAAAATGAAGGACAGGAGGCTACAACAGGGCTTGTTCAGGTATAGGTGGGAGCAGGGAGCATATACACTTGTATGAAAGCAGAACAGTGGAACCTGTTGAATTTGCTTTGAGAAGGGGGGAGGAAGGTTGAGGGAGAATGATGGAGGGGGTGACTCTAATCAGTGTACATTGTACCCACATGTCACAGTGAAATCCCCTGGACAAGGAATACATGCTAATAAAAATGTAAAACAAACAAACAAACAAACAGAAACCTTGGGCAAGCTGGTTCGCCTATCACATCCTTGGTTTCCTCACCTGTAAAATGAGGCTAACACTGCCGTATGGTGTTGTTGTGAAGATTAACTTTGATAGTATATTTGGATATGCTTAGAATAACTGCTCTTTAAATGCTCAGATCTTGCACACCTGAGAGAAATTTAATCAGTCACTTTATTGGATTAGAAAACCTTTCATGAATATCAAAGACTGGTAAGTGGAAAGCAAGATTAACAGTAACTATCTCACAAATTTCTTTCTGAGTTAAGAATGTTGTGAATGTCTGAACTTAGTGTGAACATGTGTTTCCATTGTGAACAGGAAGCTCACTAAAGTGTTAAGGACCTATGTGGACAATGCGGAGAAGCCTGGAATCAATGACCAGCTGTACAAAGCCATGAAAGCTTTAGAGTACATCTTCAAGTTCATCGTGCGCTCACGGATACTGTTCAATCAGTAGGTACCCCCAGAGAACGTCAAGAACATCCTTCACTTCCTCTCTTTCCTTTTACCCTTCTCCATTTTTCTTTCTTCCTCCTTATCCTTTCCTCCCTCCCTCCCTTCCTTCTTTCCTACCTGAGTGAGTACTAATAGGTGATGGAATGGTGTGGGCTTGCCCATGGTGGCCTTTACTGCTTGCTGAGCAAAAATATGCAAGCTGTGACATGTTTTTGTGTATGTATGTGGGGGTGGGGGGTTCCCAAGGCTGAGCCCTGCGCCTTCCGGCCAGACATCATCCGCTGAGAGCCTTAGTGATGCTTCACACGCAGCACTGGGTGTCTGCCAAGGGCTCTTAGTACTTTTCAGTATATCTTCATATAGCAAAAGGCCCCAAAAGAACAAACAAAAATGAAACAAGCAATAGCAGCAAAAAACCAGAATCAAGTTAAATTGTCTCACTTGGGAAGACTCAGGGACTTCCTCTCTCTCTTTCCTTCAACCAGAATGTTTTATTTCCAGAGAGAGATTCCTACATAGGGTGGTTTTTGCTTAGTGGCCTTTTAAAATCTGTCTTGATTAACTTAGGGATTATTTTTGAGCTTTAAAATAAATTAGGGTACTTATGACTTCATTCATTAACAGAGAATAATAATATCTCATATATTTACATTTATAATGTTTACATCTGTGCTGCTAACATGACAGACCTTTCTGCTGGCCTGCAGTATTTCATTCTGATAGAAAAGATGTAGGAAGTGCATAGTTTGTTGTATGTTGGAGTGGACTAACTCTGTTTTTGGAGGATGGCTGTTTTATGGGTGTTGTACCTACCATGTATGCTGTGAGTGCATGTTGGTTATTCTAGACTGGTGTTCTTATTGTTGTAAGTTCTACATCCAGAGATGGGATTCATGAACCCCTGTCCCTCTGAATCAGCAAACTCACGTATCACCTTTGAAAATCACAGTACTCATGATACAGTATCAGCGAAACTGGGAATTGATCCTGGGTGGGCCCACATTTGTGTCTTCCTATTTCTGTTTCACTTAATTTTATCTGCCTGAAGAGGATGTGAGCAGACAGGCCGACAAGGAAAGAATATGAATCCAACCTTAGGTATCCCATCCCATGTTAGACATACAGCTACAGCAGCACATCGCTGACTGTGTGTAGGTAGACACAGGGTGGTGACCAGCAGTGACCTGGAGACCCAGCCCTCGTGCTGTTGGTCAGAGGACTGAGGATCCTTGTGTATGTGCTGGGGTTTCCATGGCTAAAACAGCAGTCTTGCTGGAGGAGTGACTCAAGTAGAGCATCGGCCTAGCAAGCCTAGCAAGCGTGAGGCCCTGAGTTTAAACCCCAGTACCTCCAAAAAAAATAATAAATAAAATAGTGGTCTTTACACTGCCATTTTTATGTATGAAGACCAAGGGCTGAGGGCATCAGACTTTTATCCTTAACAAATACCGCAAAGGCATGCTCAGTTATTTTGCATGTTTTCAGCAGGCGTGACCCTTCTCATGGATGAGGCTTGCTTTTTTGCTGAGTCTGGGCCATCAATGATTTTCCCACTGTTAGGTGTGAAAGAGGACAAGGCAAACTAGGCCATGTTCCCCATATCTTGTCTGATTTTATTTTGGTAAGGTTAGTTCTGTGAAAGTGGACTTCTTGGGTCCCTCTATATTGCTTTTGTATTTTCCTCATTAATTAAAAATCTAACTAAGGTGGGAGGCTGAGCTGGAAAGAAGGCAGTAGTCAGGTGATGTAGATTTTGTCTGTTTTGTTTGGAAATTTTAAATCTGTGTAATTTGTGATCCCTGTGATGTTGAGTCGGGGGTCTGATGGTGTGTTTCCTTTCCACATACATTGCGGGTTTTCCTCTTCATTAGAGATTTGTAATTAAAAGAAACAGACATTGACCAGTGTGTTTCTGAAGTTATAGTGAATATATCCTTCACACACCAGTGCTGTTTGAGGGAAGGCTGAGGTTCCCTCAGGTGACCAGAAATAAATCCTTTCTCTGACTCTTCTTTTATCCTTTTCAATTTCAGAATACAAATGGCAGAGATCTTAGAACCATGGTGCATAGAACTTACTTAGTTTGATCAATGTAATAGTGTTAGGAATATGATTGACACCATGTAACAGAAAGGGCCAATTTATGTGAGATCACCAAACGAGGTTCAGTCCCAACTCACACACACACATTGGAGCCTGGAGGAAGAATTTGGACCTCATGTGCTTTTTCCATATTGTCCCCATGTCTTCAGATCTCCTTTATCCTTCTTCCCTACCATCCTTAGATCTGGCTATCTTTCTCATGGGGCCAAGGTAACTCTTGTGCCTCTTAGTGTCACATCTGCACTTTAGGTAGCCAGGAGGAGTAGGCAAAGGGGACTCAGTACTGCTTAGCCCTTCTTCTGGGAAATGACCTCCCCCATGCCTTTAAGTGCTGTGTGCTTTTGTCTCAATGGTAGAATTATGTCACACTACTACCCTTAGATGCTGGGGCTTTTAGAAGAAGGGGATTTTTAGAAGAATTTATTGATGACTTCAACAAAATCAGAGTTGCTGTGAGAAATATATGTTGGCTGGACAATTAATATTTTCTTTTTCATACTTACAACCCAGAAAGTGTCTGTTGCTTTGAACTTCCCTAACTCATTTCAGGTTACTAAATCCTTACGTAGGCTTGGCATACCCTTTATTTGTCATTAGTTTGAGGGTCTGTCTCTGTGACTCCTGTCGCTAGTAGCTCTGATTTACTCTTGATTTTAAATTGAATACCGAAGTGATGCACAGATTTTTGTTCCCATGAGATTACATAGGAATGGGGCGAAATATTCTGCTGATCTTGCCCATGACCCAGGGAGTTCTCTGTGTTTAACTGCTCTGGAGTGTCCTCTTCCCTCTGTTCAGTACAGACCAAGATCCCTTGGCCTGCCTTTGTCCCAGTCAAGTTGTAACAGGAATCTACCGATGCCAAGTGAGTTTTTTGGCTGGAATAACTTGGTTATTAAAAAAGCTGAGACAAAGCGGGCACCAGTGGCTCATGCCTATAATCCTAGCTACTCTGGAGGCATAGGTCAGGAGGATGGAGGTTCAAAGCCAGCCCGGCCAAATAGTTTGTGAAATGCTGTCTCGAAAAAACCCATCACAAAAAACGGTTGGTGGAGTGGCTTGAAGTGTAGGCCCTGAGTTCAAGCCCCAGCACCTTCAAAAAAAGCTGAGATTACCTAGGACACAAATGAGTATCAGCCATCTCTAAGACACACTGAGGCATCTGTGCCTCCCAAGACCCCTGTGGGGCATCCTTAGCCTTTCTGACTAATCTCTGGAGCTGATGGCGCTTTGATGATCACCATCCTTCTCACCCTTTTTCTTTCCTTCTCTTTCCCTCTCTCCCTCGATCTTTCATTGTTTCATAAAGACATGATGGGCTTTTGAGACCTGTCTCTTCTGCCAGACTTTAATAGTTTCATGACTTTTTTTTTTCTCTAAATGTGTCCTAATTGTGGATTTTGCCTAGTAGGATTCTTGAGGGGAGGGAAGGAGACATGTTCCTTTTGAATGTAGAATGTAATTGTGTCCGCATCCCATCGCTCCTGCAGTTTAAATGTGTGGACTAAACTGTTGAAGGTGTTTTAGTATCTCACAGGCTGTAGGGGAGGAAAATCTTCCACCTTAAAATCCTGGGTAAAAGGACCAAAGTCTTTTAGCTCCTGACTGCCCTGTTCCCATTGTCCTGTGGTAACATTCACCTGTGAGGTCAAAGGCCTGATGTGGGTGCTGCCATATTCTTTTTCCAGATAGACTATTGGTGAAGCAGCAGTCTGGTATCCCACACAGATGTCTGCAGTGTTTAGCCATAATAAGCTCTAAGCAGGTCCGGTGTGGGGTGTTTTTAGAGGCAGGAAGAAAACAAA